TGCCCTGCTGGGAGAGGGAGAGCTGGGGCGGTGGTGCTGTCTGCAGGCTAAGAGCACAGACCTGCAGCCTGGTGAGCCTGGGGCAGCTGGCACCAAGGGCAGAGCGGTGTGTGGCAGCCTGGAGCTCCCATAGAACCTGCCCCTGGGCACCCTGCCTAGCCACAGGGCCACCCTGACTCTGGGTAACAGCAGGAGCTCCCAGACCAGTCTTGGTGATGGTCAAGTCTTTATGATGTGTCAGAACCAGAAACGCTGAACCAGATCAGGGACTCATTGCAATGAATATTTGTATGTAAAGCTGTTTGGGGGAAAAATACTGTGTTACACACTACGGTTTCCAATGCCACTACGGTGAACACATGTGTGATGGACAGGTGTTAAAGATGGAGGAACAGAGCAGTGCATGCGCAGTGGAGAGAGGTACAACTAGAGACTCAGCATCAGGACAGGCGTGAGAGAAGGCTGAGGTCCACAGGGGAACATGTTCTTGCCAAGTAGCATCAGCATGTGGTGTGCAGCAGCCTGGGGCAGCTGCAGATGCTGCCTCTTCTCTGTCCCGGCCCCCAACACACTGCCCAGCTGCATGATCACCCAGGGTCTGAGCAACAACAGGATGTCTGAGGTGAAGAACTGCTGGTAGTCTGGATTGGACCTCCTTGAATGATGTCCGTGGTCCGCACTGCCCCCTGGAGGCCATGTTGATATCTGCACTGTTGCCCTGGGCCATGATAAAGCCTCAAGTCCATGCAGATGTCCATGGCCTGAGCTGCCTCTGGATGCTATGTTGATGTGTGTGGCCTAAACCTCTGTTATGCCGGTTTTGCAAGTCCCCTCAACAAGACCACCAAAGAGCCGACTTCCGATTCACAAACAAAAGGTTTCTTTATTCAGGACCAGCCTGAGCAGGGACTTCATCCAATACTCCGTTGTATCGAGTGAGGGAGGAAGCCCTGAGCACTTATTATAAGGGTTTATATAGGAAAAGTTTACACGCGGTGAGTTACACATCTTAGTGTATTAGGGTTGGACGAGGGAGGTAGGGGTGAGGTAGTTCTTTGAAGTTATGTAAGTGTGAAATTACTAATGGCTGACAGGATGCAGGTATCTATGCAGACATACATTTTTATTCCCTATATCTTGTTTCACTGGGTCCAGGACATATACATCAGATTTATTGTTCCAGTCTAAGTTCACCTACTGGTCAGCTTCTGGGTTCATCTATAGGTCAACAGATACCTTGAGATGGGGGCCGACTGGTTTTCCCCTTCACTGCCACTGCTGAGGGCCATCCCGGGGTCTGGGGCCCTGCTGCCTACAGTGGCCCTGTTGATGTGAGTGGCCTGTGCAGCCACCTGAGGCCATGATGATCTCTGTGGTCCATGCCATCACCGAGGGACATGTCTGGGTCTGGGATCCTACTGCAACTGGGGGCCATGTGGATGTCCATGACCCATTTTATCACTGAGCAAGTGTCTGTGCTCTGTGCTGCAGCCTGAAGCCATGCAGATGTCTGTAGTCCATGCTGCCACCAGGGGCCATGTCTGGGTCCAGGGTCCTACTGTGACCATGGACTGTGTTGATGTCCACAGCCTGCGTTACCACCTAGGGCCATGCAGATGTCAGTGGTTTATGCCATTGCCTGAAGTATGATGTCTGTGTGTCATGCTGCCACTGGAGGCATGTAGAAGTCCAGGGTCCATGCTCCCACTGACTGTAAAGAAAAAGGAAGCTTTTTGTGCAGTGATGTTAATGACTGCAGACTCACAGTTGAGAAAGAGGGACATAGAAATCTTCTGTGACAACCCCTACTTCCTCTGCAAAAAAGTAACAGTCTAAATTGGAGCCATTAATTAGAGCTCTTAAAATTGTGATAATGATGCTGAAGTGTAGCTCTTCACAACTGATAGCATCTGGTGAGGGTGCAGGTGAGGAAGGATTTAGTTTTCTTTCTTTTTTTTTTTTTTCTTCTTTTTTTTGGTTTTTTTGAGACAGGGTTTCTCTGTGTAGCTTTGCGCCTTTCCTGGAACTCACTTGGTAGACCAGGCTGGCCTCGAACAAACAGAGATCTGCCTGGCTCTGCCTCCCGAGTGCTGGGTTCAAAGGCGTGCGCCACCACCGCCCGGCGGATTTAGTTTTCTTTAAGGGGCTGACATTAAAGGGAATTTTGTTTTGTTTTGTTTTGTTTGTTTGGTTTGTTTTGTTTGTTTTTTGGAGACAGGGTTTCTCTGTGTAGTTTTGGTGCCTGTCCTGGATCTCACTCTGTAGACCAGGCCGACCTAGAACTCACAGAGATCTGCCTGGTTCTGCCTCCGGAATGCTGGGATTAAAGGTGAGTGCCACCACTGCCCGGCCTGTTTTTTGTTTTGTTTTCTTGGCCACCAGGAGTTTGAGCATGCCTGCAGGAGTACATGGCAACACAAACTGGACTCTTTCTTTCTTTCTTATTTCTTTTAAGGGGATGAAGTCAAAAGGATGTGGAGGGCAGACCTGGGAGGACTGGGAAGTGAGTGTGATCTGTGTGCATGGTGTGAAATACTCAGTAATCAATAAAAATATTATGTTGGAAAAAAGCCCGTGCTAGAACCTGCCTTGCTCTGTCTGCTGCCTATAGACCAGGATGTAACCCTCAGCTACTGCTCCAGCACCACATGACTGTCTGCAGATCGTCTGCTCCCTGACATGATGAGAACTGAGAACGGGATAAGCCTCTACAACTGGAGCAAGCCTCCATTTACATGCTTTCTTTTATAAGAGTTTCCTTGGTCATGGTGTCTCACCACAGCAACAGAACAGTGACTAAGATACATCTTATCATTGCTTATTCTCTGTCATCTACATCCCCTTCCATACAGAAGCCACATCACCTAGAAGAAGGATGGACCCTAACACTCATTACGACCAGACCCAAGCTGAATTCACACACAGTACTCCTGTCCTTTAAAGTAATCTCAAATAGGATCAGAGAACAAATAAACAAGCATTTTTGGGTTAGTACTGTGAATTCAGCTTGGGCTTTCCCGGAATGCAACATAAAGCCTATGTGTAATGTATCCCTACAACTAGAATATATTAATGCATGTTGAAGAATTTTAAAGCACCATGGTCTAAAGCAGAAGCTATATTTTGCATATTTGCACTCAGCTATCCATTAAGAACTATGTCGTCAACTGGACACATCAAAGTAATTTGATTCTATAAAATAGAAATTTTGTGACTTAATTTATGTATAACCTCCACTATTGTAAATTTATGTGAAATGCATCACAATTACAACTTTTTCATCAGTGAAATAATAAAGTTGCTGTTAACAAAAAAAAAAAAAAAAAAAGACCAGGCCCAAGGCCCCATCCCTGTCCCACCCTGATGTCATCTCAGAACAGACCAGCCCCACAGGGTCAGCCCTGAATGCTGTCCCCAGCTGTGCAGGCCATTGGTGTCTCTGTGCAGGACCTGAAGCTTATGAACTCTGGGCTGAAAGGAAAATCACGAATGTCCAAAGAGAGGAACTTCTGATTCCACCTTTAGTTATCTGTCTTTCAGTCTGTCCGTGTGTCAATGCATCCGTCCATCCATCCATCCATCCATCCATCCATCCATCCATCCATCCATCCATCCATCTATCCATCCATCCATCCATCTATCCATCTATCTATCATCTCTCTATTATCTACCTATCTATCTCTCCTCAGTCCCTCTAAAATCAGATTTTCCTGTTCTGAGGGAAGTAAAAATATCCACACTTCTCTTTCCTCTCCCCACCTACCCTGACTTTATCAGTCTCCTGTGATTATATCACCAATGTCACCTAGGACTGAGGGACAGGAATGGAACTGGAACCCACTGTGTCCCCTTCTCTGTAGTCCAGCCATCCTAACAGTGGGGCCTCCCCCCAAGAGGGTTAATCACTGTTGCTCCAGCTGGTGGGGTGGGGGTGGGGCTCATACATATCCTCCCCCTTGCAGTTCTCAGTCCTAGTGACCCTGCATTGGGAGGTGTGATGTTTGGTTTTTGGGAAGAGAAATCTGAACTGAGAAAATACCTTCAACCATGTGGGTTCAAGCCAAGTATGTTGCACAAATCTTAATTGGTCTTAAAAAAAAAACCTGGAGTGAGATCTGGGTAAATACTGAAAGATCAGAGAGACAAAGGAACAAGTCACATCCACTTCTCACATTGCCAACTCCTCAGCAGATCCTGTCTCCACAAATCCTCAGACTGAATGCCTCTGAGTCCTCAGTTGAAAGCTTTGAGTTCCTGTCTCCTCAGGCCTTATCTGCCTTTCTCAGCCCAGCCATATCACTTCCTGTCTCAACCTTCCTAAACGCTGGGATTAATGGTGTGTGTGCCTCCCAAATATTGGGAGCAGAGGTATGAGATCTCAAGTGCTGGAATTAAAGGTATGTGCTACCACTGCCTGGCTCTGTTTCTTTTGGACTGGATTAATCTCATATAGTCTAGGGTGGCCTTGAACTCACAGAGAGCCAGACAGATCTCTGCCTCTTGAGTGCTAGGATTAAAGGAGTGTGCCACCATTGTCTGGCACCTATGTTTAATCTAGTGGCTGGCTTTGTCCTCTGATCTTCAGCAAATTTTATTTGTTAATGAGTAAAATAAAATATCACAAGTCACCAGGGCATTTTCTTGATTAGTGATTGATATGAGATGTCTGGCCAACTGTGGTGGTACCATTCCTAGGAGGTGGTTCTGGGCTGGATCAGAAAGTAGGCTGAGCAAGTCATGGGGACTGGGCCAGGAAGCAGTGTTCCTCCATGGCCTCTGCTTCAGTCCCCACCTCTGGGTTCCTGCCCTGCTTGAGTTCTCGCTCTGACTTCTCTAGGTGATGAACTGATACCTGGAAAGGTAAGAAGAAATAAACCTTTTCCTCTCCAATTTGCTTCCAGCCACAGTGTTTTATCACAGCAATGCAAACATTAACGAAGACAGAAGTAGGCTCTAGGTGGTGGGGTGTTGCTGAGACATAAACAACCATGTTTGGGGAGGATTGTGGAAGGATTCAGAACTTCGGGCTGGAAAAGCCATTGAATGTTCAAAGTTTGACACTGTACTGGGGAACACAGAAGACAATGCTGAGAGCAGTACAGACGAGGGACTAAGGGACGAGACAGCGAGCAGTGTCCTCCATGGTGTCAGCTGCAGCTGGAGCCTCCAGGGTCCTGCCTCCAAGGTCCTGGATCCCTTACATGGATTAAAGGGGATGGATGGACTGTGATGGGGAAGTGTATGCTCAAATAAACCCTTTCTCTACCAAGTTAATTTTGGTCATTGGGTTTATCCCAGCAACAGAAACCCAAGGAAGACAGAGGTGTACACTGGCCTCACTCTGCTCCCTCTCAACTCCACTCAACCCCACTCTCTCCTCAGCTCAACCCCACTGCTCCCTAGCCCTGGACCAGCGCCCACAAGTTAGCTCCCAACCACCTGTACAGCTGCAGGGGATCAGAATCCCTCTTCTGACCTAGGGCAGCAGGTACAATGTGTGGGGCATACCTACATGCAGGGAAAACCCTCTCATACATTAAAAAATATGTCTTTACTTTAAAAGCTTAAAAGTGTTATTTTATTGTTGTATCACACTGAGTGTCCACGGCTATGTAAAGACATTAAACCTCACAGCTCTTCTGTGTAGCTGAAAAGCTGGATTTTTCTCCCCATAAACTTCAACCAAAATGATGGTTGAATGCAAAACGAGGCAGGAACTCCAGTGACGTTCTAACAAAATGGACAAGAGGAGGATGTGGGAAAAGGTACAGTGTAAAAAGATCCATTCGGGCTGGAGAGATGGCTCAGAGGTTAAGAACACTGGCTGTTCTTCCAGCAGTCCTGAGTTCAATTCCCAGCACCCACATGGTGGGTCACAACCATCTCTAGTGAGATCTGGCGCCCTCTTCTGGCCTGCAGGGAAAAAAAGCCTAAAAAAAGATCCATTCTTCTCACTCTGTTGTTTTATTTTAGAAAATGGTTATTTCTCAGACAAAATATCATTTTGTTAACACACAATAAGATAATTACTTAAAAATTAATTAGGAGGGGCTGGAGAGTTGGCTCAGTGGTTCAGAGCAATTTTGCTCTTGCAGAGGACCTGGGTTCAGCTCTCAGCAACCACACAGCTCACAACCACAATAACTCCAGTTCCAGAGGATCTGACACCTCCCTGACCTTCACGGGCTCCAGGCATGCATTCTGTCCTCTCACCTCACTCTCCCCACTGCTTGACACCAGGGTCACCTCGGCAAGCTCCCACTTCAGTGAAGACACGGAACACATGGACGGGTCCCTGCCTCAGGGTGAGAGAGTGGAAGCCTTGGGGATCCTGACTGATGGGACTGGAGCAGGACTGTGCAAGTTCAGCATGCTGGACTGTGAGGGTGAGAAGAGTGTCCCAGTACCCAGCACTTTTCAGTCTGAGGGACAACAGTGGATGTGTGGCACCTCTGCCACCACATTTCAGGACCCCGTCTGCAAGGACTCCAACAGGCTGGTGTCCTGTGAGGTTTTCAGTACAACCAGGAGCCTCTGAGGTCCATGTGAGGCACACGTGTACTCTGTACAAAGGTAATGAACACGGAGGGCAGACAGCAGCCCTTGTGTAGAACACAGTATGGATTCACTGTCATGGAAAAGAGAAGCTCAGTGTTTTGTCCTGTTCATGGATTCCCAGGGCTCCTAGGTCAGCATTACTGTGCTGTGGGATCAGAGGCTGAGGCAGTCTGAGTTTCTTTGTAGCTAGAGTCAAGAAGACATGCTTGATGGCAAGGTCATGGCTGCCCCGTGGGAATTCCTCACAGGACCCTCTGAAGCCACCTGTGTGGAGATCATGTTCCATCTTGTATGTGACGACCCTGAAGTGACACAGTGATTGGTCCGAAGCCCACTGCTGGGGACTGGGATGGTGCAGGCTGCTGTGCTAGTGTGAACATCAAGGCCAAGTGTGAGGAGATGATCTGAAGTTCACAGAAGGAGGCTGTTGGAAAACTAAGCCAGTGCCACCAGGTCCACATCGGAACCAGGGTCTGAGGGTGTCCAGACAGTGCCTGACAAAGAACCACATTCCATGAGGCCCACATATGTCAGGTCTCACAGTGGAAAGCTGTCTCATAAAAATAAAAGGAAGCCAGGCCTGGTGGTATACGCCTTTAATCCCAACACTCAAGAGGCAGAGGAAGAAAGATCTCTGAGTTTGACTCCAGCCTGGTTTACAGATTTAGTTCCAGGACAGGTAGGGCTACACAGAGAAACCCTGTCTTGACAAACCAAATGAAACAGAACATAGATGTGGTGGTGTCAAAGAAAATGGCCCCCAAAGGGAGTGGTACTATTTGGAGGCATGGCCTTGTTGGCAGAGTGTGTTATTGTGAGGGCAGGCTGTGAGGTCTTTTTCTCAAGCTTCCCTCAGGTAACAGTTGGTCAATTTCCTGTTGCCTACAAGATGCAGGACTCTCAGCTCCAGCACTATGTCTCCCAACATGTTGCCATGCTCCCATTCATGATCACAGTGGACTGAACCTCTGAAACTGTAAGTGACCCTTAGTTAAGTGTTTTCTTTATAAGAGCTGCTGTGGTCATGGCTTCTCTTCACAGCAACAGTAAAGCCTAACTAAGACATTAGATTAAAGTATATGGGTTAATTTGTTATAAGAACTAGTTAGAAACAAGCCTAAGCTATTGACCGAGCTTCCATAATTAATAATAAGTATCCATGTTGTGATTTGACAGCAGGGACAGAGAAAGTCTCACTACAAATGATGCGCAACATCCAGGCACACATTTCTACATAAGACCTGAGACAGCTTTAAAAACGTTTCCAAACATACAAAAATGGAGCCAAACATGGCTTCCTAGTGCTGCAGCCTCTCACGTGGTACAGAAATGCAGCTCATGGCCACTACCTGCAGGCTTGAGCCACCAGTGAACCATGAGCTCAGCTACTCGGCGGTTTAAGGTTTTGCTCATGGAGAGAAAAGATTACAGATACACAGTAAAGCAGGTTCAGACAGACAAAACCTCTAAACAGGTTACAATGTGTTTAACAATGTGCATAAGTTTAAGAAAAATAAAGAAAAAATACAGACAGTACTAAAAAAAATAAGCAGTTTTAAAAAATAGTCTTTAAAGAGAGAAGTCATAAAAAATAAGCCATGTAAAGATGGGAACAATGATAACACAAGGAGTCATATGGAACTTTATTAATTTTGAATTTTTTGATTGCTAATGAACAAACTACAGCTGCTGAGAGACACTGGACTGTGGAAGGGACTCCTGAATTAAACCAACCTATATACTTTAGGAATGCCTTAACTTAGTCATCATAACAATCAAACTTATGGTCATGGTAGGTGAGCTTTCAAGGTCTTACAGAGTTGTGTTTTAGATAGATAGCTGATCTTGAAACACTTTAAAGACCTACAGAATATGACATTTAAAATGTTATAATAACTTAACCTTTTTCATGACAATGAGACACATCTGCTCCTGGCAGAACCAATTTACTTAGGAGAAGATGATGGGTATTGAAGAAACTCCATATAGAGTTTGCTTTCAAGGTGGCAACAGCTGTGGGATAATGCTCTGGTACACTGTAGAGATTTGTTAATTGATTGGTTTGATAAAATGCTGATTGGTCAGCAGCGGGGAGACTAGGAGAATTCTGGGAAGAGGAAGGGTGGAGTCAAGAACTCACCAGCCAGATGCAGAAGAATCAAGATGAAAATGTTGTACTGAGAAAAGGTGCCAAGCCACATGGCTAAACATAGATAAGAATTATGGGTTAATTTAAATGTAAGAGCTAATTAGTACTAAGCCTGGTCTATTGGCTAAGAATTCGTAAGTAATATTAAGCCTCCAATTCAATTATTTGGAAAGTGGCTGCTTGGTATTTGAGAGTTGTTGGCTGGACACAGAAACTTCCACCTAGAGCAAGAATAGCCATTTGGGCAAGAAACTGGTCTTGTCTTAACTGCTGACTATGGTGATGTTTTATTTGTATTAAAATGTTATTTGTATGTTAATAAATGAAGTTGCCTGGGGGTCAGAGCTATTAGCAAGCCATAGGAAAGCCGGGCGGTGGTGGCGTATGCTTGTAATCCCAGCACTTGGTAGGCAGAGCTAGGTAAGTCTCTGTGTGTTCAGGGATACAGCCAGCAATGGATACACATGCCTTTAATCTCAATACCAACCACAGAAGACCTGGAGGTCTATATAGACAAGCAGTGATGAGGCAGTCATGTGGTTGTGTTTACAACCAATGAGAATGCAGAACAGGAAGTCTATATAAAGACTTTAACACAGGAAGTAGCTCTTTTTCTGAGAGGTAGGACCACCGCAGGAGGAAGGGTAAGGTTTTAACTCTTAACTCTGACCTCTTGGCTTTCTTCTTTACATTGGTTCTGTGTTTCTTATTTAATAAGACGGTTGGTTACATCTATAGCTGACAGTGTGCTGTACAAACAGAACAAGCACAACACAAAAGAAAAAGATTGTTGAACTTTGCCAAGACAAGGTGGGACAGTCCTTCAATTTCCCACCTCACAGAAAAGTCTGTCAGATAATCTGGACCTGTAGGCTGAAGATGGATGTCCTGGCATTACAGAAAAACCCTGGGGTGACTCACCAGGCAGCCAGATGTCTCTGTCATTTTATAGTTTTGGAAGTTGCTTGCTCAGCACTTTGTTTACTCAGGTGATATTATATTCTTCTCAGGTCTCTGATGGAGTTGAAGACTAGATAGATACAGTTACAGTTTCCCTTAGTCATGACAGAAAGTAAATTAGGTACAAAACTTTGGATTCATGAAGAGAGGACAGATAATAGAATGTTTTCCAATAAATTTGCCAAATATCAATGAACTGGAGATTGTAAATGTATTTCTTACTTGGTAATTGGTCTTAATATATATATATATATTAATATAATATATATAAATACCAATTATATATATATACATATATATATTGCATTCTTAGAGTTAAAACCTTTCTCTTAATTTAGACAAAGGAGAAATGTTGTGAAATAATCTCTTTGTACTCTGTGAAGAAGCATCACTCTCATTTGTTTAATGAAAAGCTGAACAGCCAATGGCTCGTCAGGATTTCCAGGCACAGAGGACTCTGGGAAGAAGAAGGGCAGAGTCACCAGGAGATGTTGAGGAAGCATAACATATAGGAGAAACTAGAGATGTAGAGCAATCAGCAATCACGGGCTTTACAAGGTAAAGGTAACCAAGTCAGGAAAAAGAATGTAGATTAAAATATAGGGGTGAATTTAAGTTATAAGAATTAATTAGAAACAAGCCTAAGCTCTCTAGTGAGCTTTCATAATTAATAATAAGTCTCCATGTCTGGTTTGGGAGCAGGCTGGTGGGACATTGTAAGACTAGCTACAATCTTCACTCACACTTTATGAGCCGATGAGATCAGGGAGTTGAATGTCCCAGGTGTGTGGGACCCTGGATCTGGTAACAGTTGACTCCTGAGTTCCTCAGGCCTGTGCGGTATGGACCCTGGGCAGAGGTAATTCTCATGGCAGAGGTACACACTGGGGATTTGAGGTTTCATCCCTGTTCAGTAGTGTGGAGAGAAATTAAGTTTATAAATCTTTTCTTTCTGTGGATTTTGACTTGATGTCTTCAAATCCCAGCCACACATAACAGAAGTAGAAAGTGAAAGCAGAGGAGAGTGGGATTCCAGCACAGAGAGTCACAGATAACACAGGGTCAAAAGTGCTTGACCAGAGCTGTGAAAACTCCAGTCACCTCTCATGCAGGTGTCCACGGCAGCCCCACACCCTCACCAGGACTCCGACAGCAGCTGTTTCCGTGAACGTTCTTTTTAAGTGCTGTGTGTATTTTATCTGGAAACTTCGTGCTCTTAGGTTTCATCCTGACTAACCTGAGGAGACAGTTGTCCCCACGCAGCTCAGAGGCACCGTGACAAACAGCGCTCCGTCCCGCAGCACAGGGTTCAGCAAAGTCTCAGTCCCCAGGCGGTGAGGTCTGGGGTGGAAGCCCAGGGCTGGGGATCCCCAGGTCCCCAGTTTCACTTCTCAAGCTTCTGACCTGTGTCGGGTCCTTCTGCACGGACACTGATGACAACCGTCCTGTTTTCACCCCCATTGGGTGCCGAGATCCCGGAGACCCAATCAGCGTCGCCGCGGTCACGGGTTATAAAGTCCACGCAGCCGGGGGAACTCAGACGCCCCAGATCCGAGATGGGGGCGATGGCTCCGCGCGCGCTGCTCCTGCTGCTGGCGGCCGCCCTGGCCCCGACCCGGACCCGCGCGGGTGAGTGCGGGGTCGGGAGGGAAATGACTCTGCGGGGAGGGCGGGGGCGGCCCCGGGGAAGCCGCGTCCCCGCGTCGCCCAGCCAGACCCTCACGCCCTTCTCCACCGCGTCCCGAGCCCCGCGCCCTGCTCCCCTCCCGGCCCGCGCACCAGCCCGGGGTCCCGGGAGGAGGGTCGGGGTCTCACCGCGCGCCGCCCCCAGGCTCGCACTCCATGCGGTATTTCCACACCATCGTGTCCCGGCCCGGCCTCGGGGAGCCCCGGTACATGGAAGTCGGCTACGTGGACGACACGCAGTTCGTGCGCTTCGACAGCGACGCGGAGACTCCGAGGATGGAGCCGCGGACGCCGTGGGTGGAGCGGGAGGGGCCGGAGTATTGGGAGGAGAACACACGGAGAGCCAAGATCACCGAGCAGACTTTCCGAGGGAACCTGAGGACCGCGCTGGGCTACTACAACCAGAGCGAGGGCGGTGAGTGACGCGGGTCGGAGGTCACGACCCCTCCACGTCCCTATGTCTGGGCCGGAGTCGCCCCGGGTCCCGGGTCCGAGGTTCACGAGGAGTTTCGGGAACCGGGACCCGGTTTCCCTTTCTGTTTAGGGGAGTCCGCGGGTGGGCGGGGCCGCGGGGCGGGGCTGACCTCGGGTGGGCGGGGCTGACCGCGGGGTCCCCGCAGGCTCTCACACTTTCCAGTATATGTCCGGCTGTGACGTGGGGTCGGACGGGCGCCTCCTCCGCGGGTACAGTCAGTATGCCTACGACGGCCGCGATTACATTGCCCTGAACGACGACCTGACGACGTGGACGGCGGCGGACACGGCGGCGCAGATCACCCGGCGCAAGTGGGAGCAGGGTGGTGATGCAGAGAGACACAGGGCCTACCTGGAGGGCGAGTGCATGGAGTGGCTGCGCAGACACCTGGAGATCGGGAAGGACGCGCTGCAGCGCACAGGTGCAGGGCCGCGGGCAGCTCCTCCCTCTGCCCTCGGGCTGGGCTCAGTCCTGGGGAAGAAGAAACCCCTCAGCTGGGGTCATGCCCCTGTCTCAGGGCAGACAGTGTCCCTGGGTCTCCTGATCCAGCATGGCAGGGACCGCACTGATCCCCAGGCTCAGCCTTTTCCCTGGACAGCTGCAAATCTGTCTCAGAGGAGGGAGAGGAGATCCCGACCTAACCACAGTGGCTCCTGCAGTCTGCAGCCGCTGTCAGCCATGGCCTCACCAGGCCGGGGTCTCTGCCCACACCAGGGTCTGTGGAAACTGAGTCCTGTCATCTGAGTGTGTCAGCCTTACACGCCAGGACCGGAAGTCTCCTTCCCTCATGGGAGACATGGACGCCCCTACCCTAGGCTGGTTCCACAGTTTCTAGAACCTTCCAAAGAATACATTCTCCCAGATTCCTGTGGGTGAGGTTGCATCCCTCACACCCCGATTACGTCTATTCCCAGAATGGTCACGTGAGCACTTATGGGGTGCCCTGGATGAATACTAAATTGTGGGGACCTTTTTCTTTTTTCTCTTCCTTCCTTTTTTTTTTTTTTTTTTTTTTTAAGTTGTCATTTTGCTTTTAGTCAGGTTTTTTTTCCCCCTCACTGGGGTGATATTGTTTCTCCCCCCCCCCCCCCCCGTTATCATCTGCTTCAGTCTCCACAGGAGCCGGGGGTGGGGGGTGGGGCGGACACAACTCTGCTAATCTGGATAATTAGACAAAGTCAGTGTTTCCTTTACACTAGAAAGGCTCCTGTGAGCTTAGACTGTTTTCTGCCATATTAACATCCAGAGCCCTCCTGCTCTCCCTCAGACCCAACAAGTCACAGTGTTGCCCCAGTGGATTAGGAATTGAACTTCCTCAGAGACAGGGTCTTCTGAAGCTCCAGGACAGGAGTGACAGGGATGATCCACACACCCCTGTGAGCACCGCTGTGTCCCAGGGAGTGCTGCCCTGGGCTCCACAGCACACTTCCAGGGCTCCTGGTGACAATACCTTGTGTCTTGTCCCCCAGAGGCAGGGCTTGGGGAGTCATTTTCTCTGGCTGAGTGTCAGAGGTTCACCACATTTCTGCTGCACACCTTGGTGATGGCTGTTCACTGGACAGACAGTTATGCTGGTCAGCAAGATGGCCACAGTGGTTGTGCCTCAGTGGTGGCAGCAGGAGTTGGTGGCACCCTTCATGTAGGCCTTGTACCTGATTTATTATTTTGATATGAATTTAATCACATAATTTAATTTAATCATAATTTAATCACATAAATTAATTATTTTCCATTCCTTCTATTCTTTTACCACCTAACTAATGCTATAGAACATCACACGAGGAAGACCATGTTGACCTGCTGGCTCATGTGGATTCCCTCTTTGCTACTGAGTCCCCCCAAAAAATGTGCAGCTCTGTGTTGAGGGGACCAGCTCTACCTGAGGTCTCTAGTGTGATGACAGAATTGTCCAAACAGACACAGTTCAGTGTCAGCATTGGTTTAACTTTGTGTTTGCAGATTTCAGTTTATCTTGTTAATTGTGGGATTTATTAAATCGTCCTCGCAGATCCCCCAAAGGCACATGTGACCCATCATCCTGGCCCTGAAGGGAAAGTCACCCTGAGGTGCTGGGCCCTGGGCTTCTACCCTGCCCTCATCACCCTGGTCTGGCAGAGGGAGGAGGAGGAACAGACTCAGGACATGGAGCTGGTAGAGACCAGACCTTCTGGGGATGGAACCTTCCAGAAGTGGGCAGCTGTGGTGGTGCCTTCTGGGGAGGAGAAGAATTACACATGCCATGTGTACCATGAGGGACTGCCTGAGCCCCTCACCCTGAGATGGGGTAAGGAGGATGTGGGTGCAGAGCTGGGGTCAGGGGAAGCTGGAGCCTTCTGCAGACCCTGAGCAGGGTCAGGGCTGACAGCTGGGGTCATGGTCCTCACCTTCCCCTCCTGTCCTTCCCTTCCAGAGCCTCCTCAGTCCACTGTCACCATCATGGCAACCATTGCTGTTCTGGTTTTCCTTGGAGCTGTGGCCATCATTGGAGCTGTGGTGGCTGTTGTGAGGAAGAGGAGGAGAATCACAGGTAGAAAAGGGCAGGGTCTGGTTCTCTCTCAGCCCCTTTTAGAAGTGTGCTCTGCCTCGTTAATAGGAAACATCCACACCCCTCAATGCTCCTGTCTTTAACCTGGGTCTGCTGTCAGTTCTGGAAAATTCCTAGGGTTGGATCTTTCCTGGTCTCTCACAGCTTTTCTTCTCACAGGTGCAAAGAGAGGGAACTATACTCCGGCTTCAGGTAAGTGTGGGGAGCAGGATTGTCCCTGAGGCCCTTGGGGTGAAGCTGGACAAATGGGGGGCTCAGTCAGCCAATAATAATAGCTCATCCAGTGAAATCTTCTGGGTGCCTTGTTTGTACCTCTCTCTCTCTCTCTTTGTGTGTGTGTGTGTGTGTGTATATATATAATTTTACCCTAGGCAGGGACAGTGCCCAGAGCTCTGATGTGTCTCTCCCAGACTGTACAGGTGACACTCTGGGATCTGATTTGGGGAGGGGCAAAGTGGACATGATTGGGGTTCAGGGACTCCCAGAATCACCTCTGAGTGAGTGGTGGGTTGTTGGGATGTTGTCTTCACAGTGATTGTTCATATCTCTTGTTTGTAGCATGAAGACAGCTGCCCGGCCTGACAGAGTGACAGAGATGTGCTCAGGTCTCTCCTGTGACGTCCTGAGCTCCTCAGTTCACTCTCAGCAACAGTGTCTGATGTTCCCTGTGACTCTATGGGCTCAATGTGAAGAACTGGGGAGCCCAGCCCCCCCTGCACACCAGGACCCTGTCCCTGCACTATCTGTGTTCCCTTCCACAGCCAACCTTCCTGGTCCAGATGACAGGAGGGAACATCTCCATCCTGTCACCTCCATGCTGCCCTGAGCTGCAGCCCCTGACTCCCAACTGAAAATAAGAATCTGAGGGCTGGAGAGATGGCTCAGTGGTTAAGAGCACTGGCTATTCTTCCAGAGGTCCTGAGTTCAATTCCTAGCAACCACATGGTGGCTTACAACTGTCCGTAATGAGATCTGGTGCCTTCTTCTGGCCTGCAGGGATACATGCACAGACTGTATATGTAATAAATAAATATTTTTAAAAAAAAGAAAGAAAGGCCGGGCGTTGGTGGCGCACGCCTTTAATCCCAGCACTCGGGAGGCAGAGCCAGGCGGATCTCTGTGAGTT